CCCAACACATACACGTTCAAGCACATGTTCTGTCCCTCAGTGCACTAGGGACATTAATGTCATTTGAGTCACACGGGTTGCGTTAATGTGCGACTCAGCAGGTCGGGAGCCTGGGCTCTGCATTTCTACTGAGCCCAAGCACCAGGTGAGGCTGCTGGCTGCTGGCCAACATGCCGCGTAATGCGTCTAGAACGGTTTGGCAAACAGCCAGCGGCCAAGTCCAGCCCACAGTCGGCTTTTTCTGTTTTCAACTGAGCCTTTAAAATTGAGGATCTAAATTTCATGTAAAATGAAATTCGTATAACGTAAAATTAACTACTTTAAATTGAATGATTCAGTGGTATTTAGTACATTCACAATGTTGTGCAGCCAACTCTATTGAATTCCAAAACGTTTTCGTCACCCCAGAAGGAAGCCCTGTGCACCTCGGCGGTTATGCCACATTCTCTGTGTCAGCCCGTCAGCCATTCACGTGCTTTCTGTCTGTGTAGTCACCGAGCCCCGACACTTCGTATGAATAGAATCACACACTATTGTGGCCCTTGGTCTCTGGCTTCTCTCACTCAGCTGACTCCAAGCTTCGTCCAGTTTGCAGGATATGTCACTGCGTCATTCCTTTTTGTGGCTGAATAGTATTCTTTTGTTTGTGTACATGACATTTTGTTTGTCCATCCATCCTTCGATGGGCACTTGGGTTGTTTCCACCTTCTGGCCGTTGTGATATTGCTGCTGTGAACATGTGTGAAATGTATGTGTTTTGAATACCTGTTTTCAGTTATTTTGGGTATATACTTAGGAGTGGAATCCCTGGGTCACATCATAATTCTATATTTAAGTTTTTGAGGAACTGCCAAACTGTTTCCCTCCATTTTATGTTCCCACCAGTGATGTATGAGGGTTCCAAATTCTTCAAATCCTCACCAACACTTGTTCTTATCAGTTTTTAAAAAACTGTAGTTATTCCAGAGTGCGCTGGGATCTGACCATGGTTCCGACTCCCATCTTTCTGTGACTAATGATCTGAGCATCTGGTCATGTGCTTGTTGGCCGCGGATGTCTGGAGAAATGTGAAGTCCTTTACTCATGTTGTAATCACTCACGGAATGAGTTAGGAGTGTTCCTTCCTCTTCGATATTTTGGAAGAGTTGAGAAGAACTGGTGTTAATTCCACTTTAAATGTTTGGTAGAATTCATCAATAATGGTGTTTTCTTTGTGGGGTGATTTGTGATTACCGACCCAATCTCTTTGCTTGTTATAGATCTGTTTAGATTTTCTATTTCTTCTTGAGTGAGTTTTGGAAATTTGTCCATCTCATCTAGCTTATCTAAAATAATTTGTTGGCATATGATTGTGCATAGTATTCTCTCATGTTCCTTTTTAATTCTGTAAGATTGGTAGTAATACTCCACATTTCATTTCTTTCTTTTTTAAAAAAAGATTTTATTGGGGAATTGGGGAAGGGGAACAGCCAAGTTGTTGTCCTTCAATCTTAGTTGTGGAGGGCGCAGCTAGCTCAGCTGCCAAGTCCAGTCGCCATCTGGCCGCCCATCGGTAGCTCGCAGCTGCTCAGCTCAAGGTGCCGTGTTCAATCTTAGTTGCGGGTGGGTGTAGCCCATCATCCCATGCGGGAGTAGAACTGGCAACCTTGTTGTTAGGAGCACGTGCTCTCACCAGCTGAGACACTCTGCCACTTGTTGGCAGCTCAGCGGCAGCTCAGCTCGGGCGCAGCTCACTGGACCATGTGGGAATTGAACCGGCGATCCTATTGCTCAGAGCTCACGCTCTTAACCAACTGAACCACTCAGCTGGCCCTCCACATTTCATTTCTGATTTTAGTTATTTGTGTCTGTCTTTTCTTTTCTTTTTAAGAAATTGTATTGGGAAACAGTGTGTTTTTCCAGGACCCATCAGCTCCAAGTCAAATAGTTGTCTTCAATCTAGTTGCGGAGGGCATAGCTCCTTGACCCATGTGGGAATCAAACTGGCAACCTCGGTGTTATGAGCCTGCGCTCTAACCATCTGAGCTAACTGGCCGCCCCTCTTTTTTTTTTCTTAGTCTAGCTAGAGGTTTGTCAATTTTGTTGATATTTTCAAAGAAACAACTTTGGTTTCATTGATTCTCCCTGTATTTCTATTCTCTATTTCTTTGATCTCTGTCTAACCTTTATTATTTCCTTGCTGCTGCTAGCTTTGGGTTTGGCTTGCTTCTCTTTTTCTAGTTCATTAAGATGTATAATTAGGATATTGATTTGAGACCTCTATCCTTTTTTTAAATTTTTTAAGCTGAGCCATCCTGCCATCTGTTGGCAGCTCAGCAGCTGCTCAGCTCGGGCCGGGACTCAAACCGCTGTTGCTCAGAGCTCACACTCTTGAGCGAGCTCTTAACCAACTGAGCCACTTGGGTGGCCCTCCTCTGTCCTTTTTAAACGTAGGTGTTTACAGCTATAAATTTCCCTGTTAGTACTGCTTTTGCTACACCTCATAAGTTTTGGTGTGTTGTGTTTTTGTTTTCATTTTCTCTAAGTGTTTTTAAATTTTTCTTGTGATTTCTATTTTGACACATTGGTTGTGTAGGAGTGTGTTGTTTAATTTTCACATATTTGTGAATTTTCCAGTTTTATTCTGTACTTGATTTCTAGTTTCATTCCACTGTGATCAGAGAAGTTACTTTGTATGAGTTCAGTCTTTAATAATTTATTAAGACTTGATTTTTGGTGTAGCATATGGTCTATCATGGAAAATGTTCCGTGTGCACTTAAGAACATGTATTCTGCTACTGTTTTGTGGAGTGTATGCCCCCTCTCTGTATATTAGGTCTAATTGGTTCAAGTCTTCTATGTCCTTATTGATCTTGTCTCTAGATGTTCTAGCCATTATTGAAAGTTAGGTGTTGAAGTCTTAAGTATTATTGTAGAACTGTCTTATTTCTCCAAATGTGTCAATGTTTGTTTCATATTTTTGTTTGATACTCTGTTCCATGCATATATGTTAATAATTGTTAATCTATTTACGAATTGACCCTTTTATCAATATATAATGTCCTCTGTCTCTTGTAACACTTTTTGTCTTTAAGTCTATTTTGTCTGATATTAATATAGCTACTTAGCTCTCTTCTGGTTGCTGTTTACATGAAATATCTTCCTTTATCCCTTTATTTTTAACTTACTTGTGTCTTTGGATCTAAAGTGATTCTTTTGTAAATAGCACATAGTTGGATCGTGTTTTTATAATCTCCATCTGCTTTTTAAATAAAGTTTTGTTGGAACCCAGCCACACTCTTGGCTTACATTATCGTTTGTGGCCCTTTTTGTGCTACAGCGGCAGCGTTGAGTCCTTGCAGCAGAGACTCCATGGCTTACAGAGCCTGAAATAGTTACTCTCTGACTCTTTCCAGAAGTTTGCCAGCCCCTGGGCTGGATGGTCTTTAACAGTTTCCCTGGTTATAGTCACCTGCAAATGGTCCCATGCAGCAGTAGTCTGGTGAGATTTGTTACCATATCTCGCCAGATTTGTGGCCTGTTCTGTCTCCCCTGAAGCCTGTGAACGGGCAGTTCCAAGTGCAGATCTGAGCATCCCCAGGACCTCAGTGGGGCAGACAGGACGAGTGGCTCTACCCCCGAAGTGGATCCAGTTTGGAATGTGACCCCCAATGCTGGCTTCACTCAGAGAGTGGCCAACTGTCCTGGTTTGCTTGAGACTAAGGCAGATTCTGAGACATAGGACTTTAGTTTTAAAATTTGGAAAGCCCAGGCCAACTGGGACAAGTTGGTCACTGTATCTGGCTGCCCAGAGTCTCACCTATGCCCCCTCCTCCCCAGTACCATTCAGGGAAACCCCCACCTACGCAAAGCGGCGGCGGCTGGCCGGCCCCAGTGGCCTGGCCTCCCCTCGGCCCCTGCAGCGCTCGGCCAGCGACATCAATCTGAAGGGTGAGGTGCAGTCGGCAGCTTCACCTGGGCCGTCGCTGCGAAGCCTTCCCCACCAGCTGCTGCTCCAGCGGCTGCAGGAGGAGAAAGACCGGGACAGGGAACGGGATGGTGACCAAGAGAACGACATCAGTGGCCCTGCGGCAGGCCGGGGCATCCACAGCAAGATCAGGTAGGATGGAAGCCCAGGCAGGGTCCAGGGGGTGGGGTGCCAGGACCCAAGCCAAGGGGAGCTAACAGGAGAGGCAGGGAGAAGCCTAGTGGTGTCTGATGGGCTGAGGCTTGGGGTAGGGGACTCCCAGGCCCCCAGACTGACCTCCCCATGTGGAGAAGGGAAGCAGGTGACACCCTGTGGACCAGGGCAGGCTCCCCCCTCCGCTGATCTCTGGTTGGAACTGGACTTGCCCTGAGGACAGTGGGCAGCTGAGGGAGCGTGTTGGGAGGAGAGGGTCTGGTCAGACCCCTGGTTTAGAAAGGTTTCTGCGGTGCCGGGGAGGAGGGTGAGGGCTGGGGTGAGGGCAGGGCTGGGTGGTGTGTGGCGTGGGGTTAGGGAATGGAGCCTCCTGTTCGTGAGGGCTTGAACCTTACAGGTAACCCCCAGCCTTGTCCTCAAAGGGGCGTCTTGGTCTTCCTCCTGGCCCTCCAGCCCAGGACACTATGGTTCTACTTTATCCTTTACCATGAGCGATGGGACCTTGACAACCAGGGGCCTGTGAGGAAGTTGGCATCCCCAGAACATAGGGCTGGAGGCCCACCAGAGCGCCCCAGCCTCTGTGGGCTGTGCAGTGGGCCGTGGGAGGGTGGGCACCAGTTTTGCAGACAGATGGCTGGGCCCAGTGCAGACCTTGCCTCTGCTGACTATGGCCTTGGACAGGTCAGCTAAGCACTCTGTGCCTGGGTTCTCACCGTCAAGGTGGGACTCATCCCACCAAAATCATTTGCTTCTGGAACCTGGGCAGGTGAGGGGTCGCTATTGGGACCCCAGCCCTCAGCACAGGGCAGCCTATCTGGAGGGCAGGGGGCGTTTCCTACAGTTTCTCCAGAGCCACACAGAAGATGCCTGAGAAATGTTAGTGAGAGTCACACAAACAGCCTGTTTTCATGAAGACCGCTGGGCTGTATCATCTCACTTAGCCTTGACCCCGTAGGAGGCTGTGCTCTGTTAACACCGCATCACAGATGAGGGTCCTGATGCTCAGGTGGGGCGAGGAAGCAGCATAACTGGGCCCCCGGCAGCCCTGACTCCCAAATTTTCTAAGCCTGGGTATTGAGCAGGAGCCTCGAAAAGCCATTGTACCCTTGGTCTGTCTCTCTCTGTCCATGTCTATGCCCAGACTCCAAGGCTGTCTGTCCTGCCCCCAGTCACCTCAATTCTCCCCCAAGCTTTTCCATGTCCCATGGATTTTTCTAAGGGGGAGCAGTGCAGTGGCTAAAAGAACAGAGTTTGGGATGTTTTGGTTTTGCAGAGGGCTGCTCCTGAGCTGGAGCTGTGTGGATGCCCTGCTTCCGTTTATGTTTTGGATATTCAATCACCTTTCAGCAAACAGTAAACTAAGACCTGGTGTGTGTGGGGCTCTAGCTCACTGCTCTGTGGGGACAGCAGAATTATTTTTCTGCAAACATTTAGTAGCTTTCTAGGATGCCCGATGTGGTGGGAGCTAACAGCGGGAAGTCCTTAAAGGGCTCAGAAAGACATTGCCAGCTGGGGCCCAGGGCTGAGACACAGTTAGGTGGGCAGTGATCCAGGTAAGGGGGTCTTCCTGTGAGTGGCCAGGTCGTGGTCTAGGAAGTTTGGTGCACCTGGCCGAGAGGGCCGCTGGAGGAGAGATCACCTTTGGTCCAAGGAGAGAAAGTGGCCATTTGAGCTGCGATGCAGGGTGGGTGGCTACAGGGTGGGTGGCTACGAGGGAGGTGGTGACCCCCTAGTGCCCCCTGTTGGCAGAGCCTGGCATGGAGCCGTAGCCCCCCCCAGGAATGTGGTGGCAGAGTCCCGGCCAGCCAGCGTGACAGCAGGCCAGAGAAAGAAAGGTCTTTGGCTGTGGAGCCCAGACAGTGTCGTGACTGGCAGTAGCAGCAGGGTCAGAATGGTTGAGGTGTTGGGGACAGCAGCATGCACAGCCCAGAGGAAGGAAAGGACGGTACCAAGCATGTGACTGGAGTGGAGCTAATTGTCAGGCCCAGGGAGCCTGGCTATGGGCTGAGGACGCGAGGCTGGTCGGCCTAGGTACTAGGGAGCCAGTGCAGGCTTTTGAGCAGGGCGCGGGGGAGGACCGAGGCCTCGGGCTCGGCCGGGGTTAGCCGCTCAGCACGGGGAGGGCGTGGGCGTCAGGGGCAGATGTCCGAGGGGTAGAGGACGCAGGTCCCGAAGGGGATTCAGGGGCCCCCCCCCC